GGAGTCAAGTGGAAGAATACAGGTCAAATCCTGAGCTAGGAGCATGAACCACCTCTCAGGGAAGTGCTATCACTTGGTACTGAAGATGCCACCTCCCAGAACAGAACAACCAGCCAAGAACAGAAGCCCTTGGTGTCACGTGACAAGGAAATAGCCATGCCTGCAGGCTCAGTTCTTCACTGTCATCTCTGGGAAGCACTGAATGACTTACATTCTTCCTGGGCATATACCACAAGTCAATGTCATGAGAGACATTACTGTGTCTCATGTCACTCCTACAATACTCTGTTGGTTTATAACTGCTTACCTTAGATATAGACACTGAACCTCAGAAACTATACCAGGAAACTGGCAAACACATGCACAGTACAAGAGCTCAGCTCACAGCAGCTTGTGGCTTTGGATTTTGCTGTTTTAATGAAAAAATGTTTTGGTTGACCTTTGGTGTTTTGTTTTTTACTAAGTGAAATTGGCTCATTTTCCCAGGAGAATATCTGCATCCCCACTTCTACTCCTTAGGGGTAGAGAATTAGATGGACACTCTCAATTCCAATGCTGAAACCCAAGCAAGCACTGCCAACTTTATTCTTTTCCAATTGTTCATGGTGTAGTCACTCTACCACAGTGGGGATCACCTGGACCCTGCTTCTATCATAGTAGAGCTGTCTGGTGCTCTGGGGCCTGAGAGATGGTAAAGTCTGGACACAAGACAATGTGACAGAGCGGGGACATCCATAACAGAGGACTTAACCTGCAGCAAAGTAAGAACTCACACTGGCTTCTTGCATACCTTAGAAAATCACCTGATCCTCATAGAAATACATTATCTGTGACAACTCAGTCCTGTGTATGATGCTAAAGAACAACAGGAAGAAGGGACACATGCTAGCCCTGCCATGGTCTCTGTAGAGCACTAGGCATCTAGGATGTATCACACATAGAATGGAGCTTGAAGCCAGGCAGGCAAGGTCGAGGATGGGCCTAGAGGCTGAGGGTACCATGGAGATCTGGTACTGGAGACTGATCCTTCATGGACTAAAGCAGATGCTGAATGCCAAGACCTGATGGCTGCTCAGTGCTGTTCCAGGTGTACTCCAGCTCAGCTGACTTGTGTTCAGTCTCCATTAGGGGAGCTCTAATGATCCAGGATCCTAAACTGCGACTCAAGGCATGGACAGATGTCAAAATAGCCAATGTCCATGGCAGCCTCAGGCTGCTAAGACAAGATTGGTTCTTGTGCATTTTACAGGGACAATCCCAGCCCCTCTTCTTTTCTCTTCACCAACATCTGCTTTGCTATAACTTCTGTATTTCTCCTTCCCTTTCCCCTCATGTTAATGAGTCAACTGGTGGCAGGGAAAAACCAAGTCACGAGGCCCAAACAGCTCAGGGGCTGCAATGTATCAGCTCAGCACCCAGGGGAGCAGAACAGTGAGATTCCAAACTCTCAAGAGATTTCACATCATCTCCTTGACTTCCCTCAGGCTCACACAGCATTATCCCAGTCAGTGTCTAAGGGAAGGCCATTGGTGTATGTAATTTAAGTAGTTAATCATGAGGAAACTGTTACTCAGACAGACCTGCCTCAGTCCATCCAAGCTGCCTTAAAAACAGCAAACAAACAAAAAATAAAACCCACTTCAAACTCGGAAGCTTCGATGATAGGACTTTATGGTTCACGATTCTACACTTGATCTTAGAAGCTATGATGGTTCACAATTCTAAAGGCTGGGCATTTCAACATCAAAGTGCTAATGGATTTAGTGCTAGGTGGGGATCTGCTTTCTGGATCCCTGATCATGCCTCCCAGCAGTCTCCTGTGACTCTTTGATAAGGGCAGTAAGCCCATCAATCATAAGGCCCCACCCCAGAATACCTAATAACCTCCCAGTGGCTCCACCCCCTAATGCCATCACAAACAGGGTTACATTTCAACACATGAATCTAGAGACACAGACATTCAGTCCACAGCAAGTGGACTGGCCTACTTTCAGCCGCCAAACCACAAGGAGATCAAAGGCCAGGTCTCTCCCTCCATCTGCCCACTGAGCCTCATGGCCCCACCTGAGGGACATGCTATCCAGTAGCTCAGGAAGACAGTAACCTCATCCACCATACCGGGGCTTCTATGTCTCCTCACTATGTCTCAGTCTCACTACTGTGGCTCAATACTCTTTATAGAACCATCTCTCCCATGTCCTCAGTACTAAAGGGACAACCACAGGCATGGACAGACATCTAAAATGGTGGCATTAACCAAATAGAGCAACAATTCTAACAGTAAACTCCATCACATCCCAACCCCATGTTGCAGGGATCGTTCCTAGCTCTCACCCTCAGGAACACCAATAAGAAGGATACATGGGGCACACATCACCCTGTCAGTACAAGACAGATAAGGTCTAAGATGGGACCCAAGTCTAAACCTTCAGCAAGCTTTCCAATTTTCCTAAGCTTCATTCTGGGAGGCAGCACAGTGATCCATACGCACACAGTGGTAAAGGACTGAAAGCCAAGTGAGTGAGACCTAGGACACACAAACAAGGGCCCAGAATTCACAGCAGTAATGTGGGAGCAACCACATTCCAGTTCCTGAAAGAAATGCTTCCCAGCCACTGAGCTCTGCTGGGCTGCTGGGAATTTATGGTTCTCAGTTCCCCGACACCACAGCTCTTTGGAATGAGAAGGTGCTTTGTTATTGCTGGTAGCATTCTGTCATGCTATTCAAAGCCATATTAAAAAAAAAAAAAGATAAAGAATGTGGCTACATTTCCCCTGGCAGGATCTGATAGGAGGAAAAGCCTATCCATCTCTCAGCAAACTGCCAACTACTGGGGTTAGCAATGCCACATCAGTTATACCTAAGACTTCTAGATGTTTCTTTGAACCAAGGAATCCTTAGTAGGCAGAAATGGAAGGAAAAGTGCAAGTTCATATCTGCAGCTCAGGTAAGGGGTGACTAGCCTGGGAATACAGTCAGGGGATGGAGTGGGTGACAAGACAAGCACTCAGCCCTTTGATCATCACCACATCAGCAAAAAGACACACGGTATGAGAACAAGAGCCACCAAAAGAGACACAGCACTTGGAAAGGTGCACTGAAGTCTCTGTATGGGAATGGAACCTCTACAAGTCGGATACCCTCCCAAATGCAATGTTCCCACGGCACAGCATTCCCAATTCCCGGGAGCACTGCAGCACAATTCCTTAGACTAAAGGTAGGCAGTACACAGAAGGGAGGTGAAAATAAACCAGACTCAAAATCAGTTCCACCCAAGGATGTGTGACCAAGAAAGGCTGGCTCCAGGTGGAAAAGGACCTTCTCCAGAACAGAGCTGAGGGGAAGGGCAGGCAGAGCTTCTCTATGCCAGCCTACTAGACTCGGAAAAAGCTTCGGAGTGACCTCAAGAAAGAGAGGCAGAAGGTGAAGAGGGTAGAGGGTGCCAGTTTTAAGCTAGTGTATATCAGCAGGACTGAGCAATCCTCTCTGCTTTCTGCATGTTCTAAGGTTGCCAGAAGAGCACTTAAAAGACAAGTCCTCTCTCTGGAAAAAGCACTAGGTCTAAGACCATTCGTTTCCCACCTTTGTGGGGGTGCTTGTGTGTATGTAGTATGTGTGTGCCTGTGTGTGTGTGTGCACAGGGCACATGGATGACTGAATATACAAGAATGTAAAAATGACAAAATGAGTGTACACATGTGGGGTGTGGTGGTCTGAATAGGTATTACCCCCATAGACTCAAGTATTTCAATACTTGGCCAATAAGGAGTGGCACTGTTAGGAGGTGTGGCCTTGTTGGAAGAGGTGTGTCACTAGGGGTGGGCCTTGAGGTCTCTGAAGCTCAAGACAGTACACTTCCTGTTGCCTTTAGATCAAGGTGTAGAAGTCTCAGCTACCTCTCTAGCTCCATGTCTGCCTGTATGCCATCATGCTTCTCACCATGATGATAATGAACTAGACCTCTGAACTGTAAGCCAGCCCCAATTAAATGTTTTCTTTGTAAGAGTTGCTGTAGTCATGGTATCTCTTCACAGCAATAAAACCCCAAGACATGGGGTGTATACACATGTATTTTTGTATGCATAAGTGTATGTTTCTGTGTAGAGGAACTCTTCCCTTCCTGGTCCTGAAACGGAAAAAACACATGTGAAGCCATATGGTTCATGGTATCCTAGCACAGCCTCCAGTTCAGAGACTGAAGACATGATGGAGATCTAGGAATAGCTGACCCATGAGCTCTACAACATCAGCAGAGCCTATCTCCCTCATCCTACAGCCAGAGGGATAGCTCACCAAGACCCCTGACAGTTTGACAGTCAGTAAGGTTTTGAAAGGCTGTAGTCACACTGAAGACCAACCACAAGGCTAGGAAATTCAGAGCTGTGGCTACAGGGAAGGGAAAGAACAATAAGCTACATCCTCAGCACCTTCATTTCTAAGACACCCCACACACACACACACACCTTTTCTGCTCATCACAGGCAAGGCAGTCAGTCCATAGCAACCATGGGACCACCTGGCTCTTCGGCACTCTGGGAACACACACACTACGCCTAATGATCTCTACTCTAAGCTGCCCAGGTTTTCCCCAACCACAGTGAACAACTAACTATCCTCAAAGTTAGCCAGCACATTCCTCTAGGCTAACCGTTTGCCCTGACTGTTTCTACACCTCTGTCCCACGAATGGATGCCACCACACAGAGAAAGTAGGGATCACTCATCGCTGGGAAGGAGCCGGTGGTGCAGCCAGAAAAGGATGACTGAGGTCTTATCTGAAATCGGATTCTTCAGAATTATTTTCTATAATTAAAAACATAGATTTCAAAGCTCTCAATTTGTTCTTGAGATGAAAGTTATATGCCGCACTCAGCAGGATCTTTCCATCAGCTCCCAGCTCCTTTCTGGGGCTGTGGTCCAGGGACCCCCTCCCCCTCTGCATATCAGTCAGTGAAGGCCAGCTCAAAGAAGTCCCACAGGAAAGCCCTGGAAACGCTTACCTGGGCTTCACATTTCTTGTGGCAGGAATATTTGCAAGCTGGAAGAAAGAGAAAGAATGTCTGTTAGTCAAGCAATATTAGGTGACACTTGCCAAGTCTCCCTCCTTGAGAAAGTTCAGCAGGAAGGCTTGTGAGGGAGGTCTCTCCCTGACAAGAGGTGGCTGTATACTGAGAATGCAAATTCAGACAAAAGTGAGATCTAAGAACCAAGTTATATAGTTATGTGCTTGAGCATGTGCTTGGCATGTACCAGGACTTGGATTCAATTCCCAGAATAGAAAAAAAAAGAAGAAAAAATAACAAAAGCTCAAACAACCCAGGCAGAAATGTATCAGGAGTAGGGTCCTAAGTAGACTGGTTTTTCAAAAGGTTGCATCCTGTCATGCTGGAGACCTAAAAAAGGCAAGTAGGACTTGATGAACAAAATTCTCTGCACATACACAGAAGTTATAATTTAACCCCGGGGAAAGAAGAAGAGGGGCAGGAGGAAGAGAAAGAACAAAGCCCCAGGCATTTGATCAGAGCCCTCCCAGGAGAGAGAAAGTCACGAGGTCATTTGGTCTCCACAGGTTTCCACTTCCGGGAGACCGAAGCGGGCACTGTCAGAATAAATTCATGTCTAAATTCTTACAGAAGAGTCCTTCAACAGGGGCCATTATGTCAGCAGAGCGGGTCCTGTGTCATAGGAGGCCCTAACAATGCAGACGGGGTGCTGGAACCAATGTGGATTTCACAGGCCCTCCCCTCTGGCCCAGAGGCAGGCTGCAGCTGAGCCTTACGGAATAAAAGGCCAGTAGCAGCAGCATGGTGCAGTGCAGTGACAAGGCCAGACATGGGAGAGGGGGCAGGATGAGGACAGTGGGAAATGAAGCAATTGCACATCAGCCCACAACAACCAACTCTGGGAGAATCACAGAGGCCTCGATGCATTCCCCATGACACCTGCCTGGGACTTCCTGTCTGGGCTCTACCCCTCCAGCAAAGCTGCCGAAGGCAAATCCTAGGACCTCTCTGGACCCCTGTTCCTCCTCACAGAACTGTCAATGTCAAATGGAATCCTTCATGGGCCCCTGCTTTCAAACTACAAAGTGATGCCCCCAGCAGAAGTGTGCAGAGCCCAGACAACACGGCAGAGGTCAGAGACAGGGGTCTTGGTGCTATAAGCCCAGGAGCTCAGAAAATGGTCCACTCTATCGGCCACTCTGCCTTCAGGTCAATACTTAACCACAAAGGTTCAGAGAGGGTTAAGGCTGAAAAAGATCAATTTGCCTAGGGCCTGGGAGTTTGTGAACCCCAGGAGTTAACAACCTATTTAGGTTTTTTATCTGTGTATGATCTAGATTTTCATTGTCTGTCCAAGCTTTTGGGATCTGTTAGAATACATGCCATAAATATTGATTCTTCATCTTCTAATCAGCACAACACATAATTGTGACCAGGGATTTCGAAATCAAGAAAGGTTTCCACTGGATAACAACAGAACTTCCATGAGAGATTAAAAACCCAGACAGAAGCCAACCCAGGCGGGGGACAGCAGGCAGAAAGCACTAAGATATGAAGGGGCAGTACACCCCAGGAGCAGCTGATGACTAGACCAATCACATGACAGACAGTCTTTAGATGACCTTAATAATTCCAGCCCCATGAACAATAAACCACGGCTGTCTACACATTAGTGCAACATGGCAGAGGGAACACTGTGTGGCTTCTGCCACTTTACGGGGCCACTTCAGCAACACTGCGGAGCTGCCAGTTTGGAAAGAAATTGAAGCCACCAGCCAATATCCAACACTTGATCAGTTTGGCTGCCAACTCAATGAGTGTGATGTCTCAGTGACAGCAGACTCCAACCACAGCCAGGGGCTTCAATGACACAGTCTCTGAGAAGAAGCCTAATGTGAACGGCTTGGTCCCCTAAATCTTACATTCAGAATGTGAGAAGCAGTAAGAAAGAGCAGATGTTTACAGTTGTACCAAGGCACTAACAGCATGCTCACAGCACAGTGAAATCCAGCCATCTCTGTCTCTCGTTCAGGTTTCTGTCAGGCACTTGCTGCCTTACAACCATCATAGAAAATGAGCCAATGTACTATCACACGCAGGGAAAGCTCAGCCACTTCAGCATCAACCCAAGGTCCTCAGTGAATCCACAATGACAATTACCCACATACCTGCTGTCCATTCTGCTCTAACTGTCCTATACTTGCTTCTGGGGCCCACCCAGCTGCCTTGGTGCCTCTGACCTCAAGGCTTATCGTGTCAGATCATCTTAACAGTCCATCTCTCAAGGCAGGCTACAAGCTGGAGGACACACAGGCTTTGCTGTATATCATATCAGATTCTGCCAAGGGCAACACTAGTGGAACATACAACACAAAGGCAACTCACTATTCAGTGCCTACAGCATGGATTGCACAGGCATTCCTAAAAACTCATCATAGCCCAACAAGAAGCCACTCATCCTTTTACTGAGGGGAGGCCAGAGTCTGGATGAAACCTGAGGATTCATCCATACATCGACTGGACTAATCATGACCTGTTACAGAAATGCTGGCAGAAGCCCATAGCCAGCAGAATGACACACAGCAAGGACATTGTACCTGAAAGCCTCTGGTCCTTCAAGTTGGGAAGGCACCAGCAAGTGGGAGTGCCCCTAAATCACTAGAGCCCTCCACTAACAGGCACACAAGCCCCCGTCTGTCTTGTCCCACCGTCAATCCCACCCATCTGCCCAGAATTCATCCACTTTGATTTAAATACTGGGCTTTTAAAAAAATTACTATTATGTTTGTTCTCTAATGATTTCAAACATGTATTTAATATACTCCAGTTACTCTCTGGACTTCCAAAAATGCTTAGCAATTGCTACTAAACAAATGGTCCTAAACTACTAAGAATAAATAGATGGAGCTGCAGAGATGGCTCAGTAGTTAAGAGTACTGGTACTCTTCTAGAGGACCCAGGTTCAATTCACAGCACCCACATGATGGTTCACGGTTGTTTCTAACTCCACTCCAGTTCCAGAGTTTCTGACAACCTCTTCTGAACTCCTTGAGACACACATATGCTGCATCTATAAATATGCAGACAAAACACTAATATATAAAATAAAACTCACTAAATCTTAATTTATCAACTAATTAAAATTTTAAAAAGGAAGAAAAGAAAGGGGAAAACTCGATTGCTGTGGTTGTTCTTGGGACAGAGCCTCACTTTGTAGCTCAGGCTAGCCTCAAACTTATGGCAAACCTCCTGTCTCAGCCTCTCAAGTGCTGTGATTATGGGCATTTAAGCTAACAGCTGTGGCTTCATTTGTCAAATGAAAATCAACTCATAAATCCTTGACTTCTAGCCTATCGAATATTACTCCCTGAGGCTATGATTCTGCCTCCCAAGCCATTATTGGTAGATTAAAACCCAGGTGGTATGAGCCATGTTGTATAAATATGTTCACTACCATTTCCCCAGGACTTCATTCATGAGCAAGAATCCTGTTGACAATTACAGGCTGAGTGCCCAGTATCTAAAATACTTGGAACCAAGAGGCTTCAGATTTGGGAACATTTTCATAGATTTTGCTTATGGGTTTATTCTAAAAGCCCAAAGTTTGAAATGCTCCAAAATCTGAAATATTTGTGCAGCTAAATTTTAGATTTAGAACATTTTGGTTTGTAGACTCTTAGATCAACCTGTATGCTTTTCTCACCCAAAGATAAAAAGTAAAAATAAATTTAAAAATTAAAAAAAAAAAAAATCCAGTGCCATTACTCATCTACTTCTGCCCCCTCAGCATCGGAACCAACTTCTTCCTGCTAAAATCACCCAATACACCCCCAGATAGGACAAGGTCCCTTCAGCTTCCTCATGGCCATAAAGAGGACATGGCAGCATCTGTCAATGCCACCGTCAGCTGTTCAGAGTCCCAGCAGATGCCATTTAACAGACTAGCTTCCTTCCTCCTGGCCCATGACCTTTCCCCTCAACACCAGGCTCATGGGGTTCAGGGGTGTTCTTTCAGTCTCCACAGTCCTCGCTCTCCACAAAGCCCCCACAAAGCCTCACTTTCCTTGTACACATGGTCCCCTGAGCTCTCCATGTGTAACAGCTGAGTGCCTTCTCATCCATCCACTAATTCCACTTAGAGCCCTATTTCCCAGCTGGCTCAGACCTCTCTGCCACTGCCACGCCCATGCAGTATCACTCAGAAAGATAGCGGGCTCTGAGAGCCTTCATGCACCTGTTCTGTTAGGAAGCCTCTTGCCCCCGTGCTGGCTAGTCTCTGCTGTCTCTTCAATGTCTCTCACTTCCTCCTCGCCTGCAGTCATATTTAGTCTAGCTTCCCCCTCACTCCATCCTTGTGTGAGTCACAGAAAGGTCACCCTTAGACAGACAATTGGATCCTGCCTGGTCTAAACCAGTGGTTGTCAGAGAGGGTCTACAGACCTCTGTGTCCCCAAGACCACATAATGGGTTGATGAGGCCAAAATATTTCCATACATCTCTCCCTCCTTTCTCTTGTGTTAACACTGTGGGGAAACTGGAAGAATTTGGGAAACAAGACCAATTTGCACTAGTTACCACTCTATTCAGTACCAGCAGTCACTTGCTGATGAAGGTTGCAGAGATGGCTCAGGAGTTAAGAGCACCAGTTGCTCTTCCAGAGGAACATACATGCAGACAAAACAACTACATATAAATATTTTTGAAGAAAAAAGTATCGTGATGTAAAATTTCAGCAGACACCTCTTCACTATTCTGTCAGAGTGGAGGGGGTGGAGAGTCTGCAATGAGTACCTCAGCATCTGGGAAGAGGACAACCTGGAGCTGGACCATGTGTGAACAGGACCATCCAGCAACAGCTCTGTTGCAGCTGTGAGTTGTCAGCTAAACTAGCGACTTACTCAGGAACACCATTTTTATTTGAAAGGATCTTGGCAAACAAGATATGAAGGGACTGCTTACCAGACTCTTGAAGTTAATCAAAGTGAGCCTGTCACACCAATGACAAAACTTCAGATTTCAAGTGGAAATCTTCTTT